CGCCAAACAGCAAAAAAAGGCCTGGTCATTAAGGGGGGTAAATCCTCAGGAGCTCAAGTGGTTAATAGATATGTTCAGAAGTTCGTCTTTCACATTTGACGTCTATGGCCGGTCCCAGTCAGGACGCAATAGTCTCACGTCAAGGTGTAGTGGCGTGCGGGGGAGGTGTGTCCTCCGGCCTGTTCTAGTATCAGTACAAGCTGACCTTTCACACACTCCTCTCTACTGAAACCTGTTTGACTTTCTCCTTTGTAGTCTGTCCCGGCATTAACCCCTTCCCTGCCGCAGCGTTCCTTCTTTTATTGGCACTCTGCATGGCGGCTTTCTTCATCCTGCCGGAGTGTGCAAACAAATTGGAGGCTGGTTGTTTGATCAGTGCCCGGGAGAAGTGGAAGCCGGTACAGAAACAGAATCGCTGATTTTTAACAGGCTGCCGACAAGGGTTAATGGCCTTCCTGTCATTTGTGTGGATCCATCCAGTATTTTGCATGAATGTTCCACACAGCTGAGTGTGTCGGTGTAGCCTGAACAACCTGAATATCTGGATGGGAATTGGCTTGGCTAAAATTGGAAGAGTTTGTTTTCAACTGTCAGAAAAGGCCAGAGAAAAGCCAACTAAAACAAAACTTGGCCTAATTAGTAAACAAAGATTTGCAGGGTGTAATTCCACCTAGCAACCAATCCGATTTCGACTTGCATCATGAAATAGCAAAACATGGGGGTTGGCAGACACTGTTTTAAAGTCCAATCATTATTATTATTATTATACAGGATTTATATAGCGCCAACAGTTTGCTCAGCGCTTTACAATATAAAGGGAGACAATACAGCAACAATACAGATCAATACAAGAGGGTTAGGAGGGCCTGATCCTAGGAGCTTACAATCTAACAGGGAGGGGCTGGTGGTACAAAAGGTAATAACTGTGGGGGGATGGACTGATAGGAGGAATAGAAGATTCCGTTATTCACTGAAGGCAGGATAGGTTTCCCTGAAGAGATAGGTGTTCAGAGATCGCCTAAAAGTGGGCAGAGTAGGCGATAGTCTGATAGATTGGGGTAGAGCGTTCCAGAGGATGGGGGAAGCTCTGGAGAAGTCCTGGAGACAAACATGGGAGGAGACAAGGGAGCTAGAGAGCAGGAGGTCGTGGGAGGAGCGGAGAGGACAGTTTGGGTGCTATTTGGAGACAAGATTGGTGATGCCATTTGGGGCAGAGTTACAAATGGCTTTATAGGTTATTGTTAATGTGTTGAATTTTATTCATTGGGCAATGGGAAGCCAGTGGAGGGATTGGCAGAGAGGGATGGCAGATATGGAATGGGAAGCCAGTGGCGGGATTGACAGAGAAGGATGGCAGATATGGAATGAAGTCAATCTCCCCGACGTGTCGTACCTTCAAGTTAGTAAGGTGGATGAGTCTGGCAGCAGCATTCATGATAGACTGAAGAGGGGATAGCCTGCGATGAGGTCGGCCAATGAGGACGCAAAACCACGTTTTTAAAACGGGTTCCGCACTCCCGACGTTTTCGCGGCAGGGGGCAGCGGGGCGCGCGCGCGCGCGCACTCCCGCCAACCCACGGGTGACACCATTTGATCCCGGAGGGATCAATCATTCGATTTCAGCCAGTGATGTCTGGCTGAAATCAGATGATCGGTCCCTGTCCTATCCTGTCCTGTGTTGACATTTACACAGGACAGGATATGATGTCATTCTTCTCTGCCTGGACACATTCCATTCCAGACAGAGAAGAAGACATACAAAAAGTGAGTAAAACAGCACATACCCACAGTTAGAACACACCTAGGACACATTTAACCCCCTGATCGCCCCCCCCCCCAGTTAACCCCTTCACTGCCCTGTCACCAGTGTCACTGATCAGTGAATCGATTTTTACTGATCACTGTATCAGTGTCGCTGGCGACTTCCTGTTCAGCGCCCCTCCAAGATGCCAGTTTTTTTTTTTGATCGCCCCTTTAATAGCGCAAAAAATAAAAAGCACACAGATGATAAAATACCATCAGAAAGAAAGCTCTATTTGTGTGAAAAAAAGGACGTAAATATTTGTTTGGGTTTGTGCAGCATTGCATGACCGCGCAATTATCATTTGAATTAGTGCAGCGCCAAACAGCAAAAAAAGGCCTGGTCATTAAGGGGGGTAAATCCTCAGGAGCTCAAGTGGTTAATAGATATGTTCAGAAGTTCGTCTTTCACATTTGACGTCTATGGCCGGTCCCAGTCAGGACGCAATAGTCTCACGTCAAGGTGTAGTGATTGACAGAGAAGGATGGCAGATATGGAATGAAGTCAATCTCCCCGACGCGTCGTACCTTCAAGTTAGTAAGGTGGATGAGTCTGGCAGCAGCATTCATGATAGACTGAAGAGGGGATAGCCTGCGATGAGGTCGGCCAATGAGGAGGGAGTTACAATAGTCAAGGCCAGAGATACCAAGGGAGTGATCGAGTTGCTTAGTGGTTTCAGAGGTTAAGAACGATCGTATCTTGGAGATGTTGCGGAGGTGAAGTCTACAAGATTTGGACAGTGATTGGTTTTGGGGCTGAAAGGACAGATGGGAGTCTAGGATTACACCTAGTACCCTGGCATGAGCCAATGGGGAGGAACTGATCATCTTAATTGGCTGTTGCAGTGATCACATGATTAGGAGCTGGGCCCACCGGCTCCTGATCATTGGCAGAGTTTTTGACAGCTTGGTCATGCTCTTAGCACAGAAAACTCTACCACCCATGGGTACATTTGTGCAGTGTGTTTAAAGCCATAATTTTTTCATTTATTTCAGGTACTTATACAGTGCCGTCAATTTAGGCAGCGCTTTACTTATATATTGAATATTCACATCAGTCCTTAACCCTTGAGGGGCGTACAATCTTGTGTAATGGCTTTAACTTTTACAGTATGTGTTATGTGGGTGCCATAATGTTGAATTCAATCTAACTCCCCCAAACATGTAATATTTTACTGCTTACTAGACCTTACATGTGGTGGCTTCATTAGTTTTCTTCTTTAGTGAGTTAGCTGGAATTACTCTTTAAAGTTTACCCAACTTTGTTTTGAAACAAATAGGCAGCAGCACTCCAATGACCTCACTTGTAGTAAGTCTTTACTGAGCCAGTACAAGCACACTGAGAGTCCCCAGCTACAGACCACCCCTCTCTGTTCTGTTTTACCCTTACGGACTAAGTCATAGAGATGCCATCTCTTCTGCGTTTCACTTGGACTTACTTGTAGAAATGTTATCTCTGTCACCTGTCACCCTTATGGACTTAGTTGTAAAGATGCCACCTCTGCTGTATGTCACCCTTATGGACTTAGTCATAGAGATGCCATCTCTTCTGCGTTTCACCCCTATGGACCTACTTGTAAAGATACTACCTCTGCTGCATTTCACTCTTATGGACTTACTCCTAGAGATGCCATCTCTGCCACCTGTCACCCTTATGGACTTACTCATAGAGATGCCATCTCTGCCACCTATCACCCTTATGGACTTAGTCATAGAGATGCCATCTCTTCTGTGTTTCACCCTTATGGACCTACTTTTAAAGATACTACCACTGCTGCATTTCACTCTTATGGACTTACTCATAGAGATGCCATCTCTGCCACCTGTCACCCTTATGGACTTAGTACAGAGATGCCATCACTGACGCCTTTCACTCTTATGGACATAGTAGCAGAAATGCCATCATTGCCGCCTGTTACCATTATGGACTTGTAGAGATGTCACCTCTGCCATGTGTTACCCTTATGGACTTAGTTGTAGAGGTGCCATCACTAGGACTAAGTCCATAAAAGTGAAATATGCTACAGGGGAGGTCTGGAGGTGGAAACTATCAGTGTGCTTGCTGCCTGTTTGTTTCCATAGGAAAAATGGAGCACCAACGGGCTCTGTTTGGCTGGCACCTGATGAGCAGAGACCAAGGAGAATTTACAGGGCTTGGAACAAAGCCATATCTTTGTTTACCCAGCTTTTCCTGTTTGAATATTGTCTGTAACACAACTCTTATTTTATTTATTATTGTTGACATGTGATGCGATACAAAAAAAAAAAATGTACCTTAGATCCGGGTTCTGGGTCTTTCACCTAGGTGGAGGTCACATCGCTCTGCATTCTCAAGGCATTTCAAGGAATTTTAAGGATCTTAAATTTAGTGAGAATGCACTCCTGGATAGTGCTAGAGTCCATTCTTTATGAGACTTGAGATACTCAGTTTTCCAGGATCCCATAGGAAGTCTGAGTGACCTCACTTTTGCTTGGGTAAAGCAACTGGAAGCCAGGATCTAAAGCAGCCTTGCACTTTTTAACATGGAGGAGCTCTACATTTTTCTGGTCTTGGGGAACCCCTGCTAAAAATTACTGCAAATAATAGTACATTAGCATGATGGTTAGTGGGAAGAATGTCTCTTACATTGGTGGTCATTAGGAAGAATTCTCCTTATACTGGTCTTTAGTGGGAAGAATGCCCCTTACATTATTGGACAGTGGGAAGAATGCCCCTTATATTGGTTTTCAGTGGGAAGAATGCCCCTTATATTGGTTTTCAGTGGGAAGAATGTCCCTTACATTGGTCAGTGGGAAAAATGTTTCTTATATTGGTCTGCATTGGGAAGAATGTCCCTTACATTGGTGGTCGATGCGAAGAATGTTCCTTATATTGGTCTTCAGTGGGAAGAATATCCCTTACATTGGTTGTCAGTGGGAGGAATTCTCCTTATAATGGTCTTTAGTGGAAAGAATGCCCCTTACATTATTGAACAGTGGGAAGAATGCTCCTTATATTGGTAGCCAGTGGGTAAGCTGCTCCTTTCATTGGTGATCATTGGGAAGAATGCCCCTCTAGAGATAGCTAAAAAGATGATTGGTGTTTAGTAGTTACTCATCCCAGAGTCAGAAAATGCTCAAGGAACCCTGGTTGAGAAAGGTGGATGTAGGATAAGTATTTTTTAATGAGTGCCCTTTTTTTGTTTCATTTCTCTCCTCACATGTTTTTTCCTTTTGCAGTCCTAATACTTGAGAAGATCGAGAACAATGACTTATTTAATAAAACCTTGAAGATCACGGACTTTGGTCTAGCCAGGGAATGGCAGAAGACCACAAAGATGAGTGCTGCGGGTACCTACGCTTGGATGGCCCCAGAAGTGATTCGTCTGTCTCTCTTTTCCAAGAGTAGCGATGTCTGGAGGTAATGGGGCTTTTCATTGATACCAATATATTTTGAACTTTCTAAAACTTTACCATAAAGTCAACATCATTGACTGTATGTATTGTCTTGCCAATTCTCATGCGCTTCTCAATATTTGAAGGTTCAGAGACATCAGCAACGATGGAGCAACCAGGAAGTATCGTAACCGGAAGTCAACAGCCAGATGTCCCGCCTGCTTCCTGATGAAGTCAGAGTGGCGAAAACACGTTAGAGGCGGTACATTACTGACTTTCAGTTACAACACTTCCTGGTTGCTGAACACACGCTGGCTCCAGAAATTGAAGGAGCGGCTCCACCAGTATTATACATACAATATACCACTATACACGGTTTATATATATTTTTCAATTATTTTCATTGCACATGGTCCTGGTCAAGACCTGAAGTAAGATGGTGTTGCAGCAACTGCCAGTAGGTTGAAAAGTATCAGCAAGGACATGATTATACACTAGATTGCCAAACGTTTTGGGAAACACCTCCAAATCATTGGATTCCGGTGTTCCAATCCCCTCCATGGCCACAGGTGTATAAAATCAAGCACCTAGGCATGCAGACTGCTTCTACAAACATTTGTGAAAGAATGGGTCACTCTCAGGAGCTCAGTGAATTCAAGCATGGTACCATGATAGGTTGTCACCTGTTGCAATAAGTCCATCCTTGAAATTTCCTTGCTACGAAATATTCTGTGGTCTACTGTAAGTGCCCGGTCATACCGGTGTGATTTCAGGTGCAATTTGGGAATTGATATCGCATCTGCATTCAAATCTAACGAATGTGAATGTCAGTGTCTTAACATTTGTGATTTGCTGTAGCGCGATTTCTAAAGTAGTTCTTGCATTATTTTTTCTGCAGTTTTGTTGCGATTTCACATAGATAGAATATATATAATAGAAATCGCACTGCAAATTGCAAGAAATCATTGAAAAGCTTCACAAGTAGCAACAAAGTCTTCAGAAATCGCATATGAAATTGCACGCAAAATCGCTCGATTTCAAATCACAGCAGTGTGACTGGTGACTTAGTGGTGTTATATCAAAGTGGAAGCAACTGGGAACAACAGCAACTCAGCCAGAAAGTGATAGGCCACGTAAAATGACAGAGCGGGGTCAGCGCGTTGAAACGCACAGTGCGCAGAAGTTGCCAACTGCCGGCAGAGTCAGTAGCTGGGATGCTATTAAATTTCATGTGCATGTAAAGGCAGGCGTCCCAATATTTTTGGCAATATAGTGTATATCGCCAGAACTTCGTGGATCTTTAATCATTAGTACAAACATTTATGAAATACAGTTATACATTGTATTAGAATTATTATTCCTGCACTTACTGAGATGAGGTTGCTTTAAAGGGGAAATGAACTTTGGAAGCTGTGCCCCTCAAAAAAGCAGGTACAGGACAAATGACTAGTCACCAGTATTGCCTGCGGTCTCCTTGCAGCTGATGTTTCCCCATTACTGACTAACCATGCCTTGTTCTGCACTGTGACTCTGTTTTGAGGCAACCATCTTGGTAGAGGCAGGGCTTTGCTTCCTCATGTCAGAGTCTCCAGGAAGGAGAACTGTGAGTGGCATAGTAGTGACATCTCCAAATTTCACTCCAGATCTGCTGAGACTAGTAGTCAGAGGCAGTGTTGCCTCAGGTCTCACACTGCTGATATACAGCTACGAGGCTGAAGGCACAGGAGTGCCTAGACACACTCACGTACCAGGAAGTGCATAAGTGCAAGTTTTCTTCAGGAGATATTCCAGACAAAAGGAACATCATTCAGGGTAGAACTTAGGCCAAATTACCATTCCTAGTTATGCCCTGCCAGCCTTTCTCAACCTTTTAAAAACAGAGAAACCCTTAAAATAACTTTCCGGTCTCAGGGAACCCCTGCCAAAAATTACTGTTTCTGCAACTCATGATACATTAGTGTGATGGACAGTGGGAAGAATGCTCCTTACACTTGTGGTCACTGGAAAGAATTACCCCCCCTTCCCATATGGATAGTTAAAAGGATCAGTGGTGTCAATGGGAACTTATCTGAGAAGCAGAAAATATTAATTGCTCAAGGAACCCCTAGTAACCTCTGGAGGAACCCTTGGATTCCATGGAACCCTGGTTGAGAAACCCTGCTATCACAGACAATCACAAACACAGGAAGTAAGATGAAATCTCCTCAACAGGGTCATCAATAAAACCTTGGAAGAAGTATTTATTCTTCCAAAGCCTTTCCAAAGCTTAATGCCAAACTCCGGGCAAAAAAAGTTTTCCTATACAGTGGGGCTGTGCTTGCACTACACGGCTTAACTGCTAGTTTTTTTTCTAGGAGAGAGGAGAATGGATATATACTTACCTAATCCTCAGATCTTCCCAGCACGAGACTGTTCCAACACCCCCTGCGCTCCAGTGGTCTTTAGTAGTGGACTGTTCCTGATGTCATCAAGCCCAGAGTAGGCTCCATAGACTAGGAACAGTCCACCGCTGGGCCATGGGGGAGTGCTGTTTTCTAGTGGATCGACTGAACATACCGAGGATATACTTCTCTGAGATTCATTATCTGGGGAAGGGGGCAGGATACCAGAGACTCAATGCTCTGCCATATAAAGTACATAAAAAATTCCTTGCCTACAGTTTTAAAAACATATACCATATATCTAATATTTAAATGCATTACCACTGATATTTAATTTCTCTTTGCATGGTACCACTTATTTAGAGTTCATCGTGATATATGTTACACCAGTAACTCTTTCATGTTTCCTAAACCAGAGCCATCAGCCTTTTTAAACCTTTAAGTCCTGCATAACAGAAGGCACCACAAGGATATATCCTTTTTTTCCTGTGTCCCTGTGACCTAATTTGACTTTGTCACCAAGGACTTGATCACTCAACCCTGCAATAAAACTGAGATCCTGTAGTCAAGTTGGCCATGGGTGGACAAGACTTCTCAATGAAGTCGATAAAGCTGGAGCACTGAGTAACCAAGTACACCCAGAGTCAGACTGACACAAATGATAGGTAAAAGCACCGGCAGTTAGGCAAGTTTTCTCTTTTAAAGTTTATAAATGGCTAATCGGTTTGCTTTAAGGTCATGGAAAGAAGTATGAAGCACTCCAGTCTTTATGCTGAGTAGACGTTTATTGATTATCAGATATACAAAGCACTCAAAGTTTCTGTCCTTCACTTGGATGTTTTTCAAGCTTGCAAATGAAACCTTGAATTTTGCATATGACCGTAAAGTTGAAAATAGCATTCACCCTGGAAAATAGCATTTCCTTGTTGAGACAGAACACATTTACATTTTCACATTTCCACCCCAAAAATAGGCTTTATTTTTGAGTAGTGAGCGGAGTCATTTTGCTGTTCATCTAGATGTCCAGTGGGGCAAAAAATATTTAGTCGGCCACCAATTGTGCAAGTTCTCCCACTTAAAAAGATGAGAGAGGCCTGTAATTGGCATCATAGGTAGACCTCAACTATGAGAGACAAAATGAGAAAACAAATCCAGACAATCCACATCACATTGGCTGATTTGGAAAGAATTTATTTGCAAATTATGGTGAAAATAAGTATTTGGTCACCTACAAACAAGCAAGATTTCTGGCTCTCACAGACCTGTTCCTTCTTCTTTAAGAGGCTCCTCTGTCCTGCACTCATTACCTGTATCAATGGCACCTGTTTGAACTTGTTATCAGTATAAAAGACACCTGTCCACAACCTCAAACGGTCACACTCCAAACTCCACTATGGTGAAGACCAAAGAGCTGCCGAAGGACACCAGAAACAAAATTGTAGACCTGCACCAGGCTGGGAAGACTGAATCTGCAATAGGCAAGCAGCTTGGTGTGAACAAATCAACTGTGGGAGCAATAATTAGAAAACGGAAGACATACAAGACCACTGATAATCTCCTTCGATCTGGGGCTCCACGCAAGATCTCACCCCGTGGGGTCAAAATGATCACAAGAACGGTGAGCAAAAGTCCCAGGACCACACGGGGGGACCTAGCGAATGACCTGCAGAGAGCTGGGACCAACGTAACAAAGGCTACCATCAGTAACACACTACGCCGCCAGGGACTCAGATCCTGCAGTGCCAGACGTGTCCCCCTGCTTAAGCCAGTACATGTCCGGGCCCATCTGAAGTTTGCTAGAGAGCATTTGGATGATCCAGAAGAGGATTGGGAGAATGTCATATGGTCTGATGAAACCTAAATAGAACTGTTTGGTAGAAACACAACTCGTGTTTGGAGGAGAGAGAATGCTGAGTTGCATCCAAAGAACACCATAACTACTGTGAAGCGTGAGGGTGGCAACATCATGCTTTGGGGCTGTTTCTCCGCAAAGGGACCAGAACGACTGATCCATGGACAGGACAGAATGAATGGGGCCATGTATCGTGAGATTTTGAGTGCAAACCTCCGTCCATCAGCAAGGGCATTGAAGATTAAACATAGCTGGGTCTTCCAACATGACAATGATCCAAAACATACCACCCGGGCAACGAAGGAGTGGCTTCGTAAGAAGCATTTCAAGGTTCTGGAGTGGCCTAGCCAGTCTCCAGATTTCAACCCCATAGAAAACCTTTGGAGGGAGTTGAAAGTCCGTGTTGCCCAGCGACAGCCCCAAAACATCACTGCTCTAGAGGAGATCTGCATGGAGGAATGGGCCAACATACCAGCAACAGTGTGTGCCAACCTTGTGAAGACTTACAGGAAACGTTTGACCTCTGTCATTGCCAACAAAGGATATATAACAAAGTATTGAGATGAACTTTGATATTGACCAAATACTTATTTTCCACCATAATTTGCAAATAAATTCTTTCCAAATCAGCTAATGTGATTGTCTGAATTTTTTTTTTCTCATTTTGTCTCTCATAGTTGGTCTACCTATGATGCCAATTACAGGCCTCTCTCATCTTTTTAAGTGCAAGAACTTGCACAATTGGTGGCTGACTAAATACTTTTTTGCCCCACTGTATAAGTGTATGTGCTATATGGCTAAAAGTTTGTGGACATTCACACCTACACTATCTGGCTAAATGTATGCGGACATCCCTCCAAACTGAGTTCAGGTGTTTCCAGTGAAGGGTACTGTTAATGCTGCAGCATACAAAGAAATTTTAGACAATTGTGCTCTTCTAACCATATGGTAATAGTTTGGAGAAGGCATCTTTCTGTTCTGTTCTGTGCTCCTGTGCACAAAATCAGCACCATAAAGACATGGTTTAATAGGTTTGATGTGGTAAACTATGTTTATCATGCTTCAGTTTGTGAACAGACTGGAAGCTCTGTACAGACCTTTTCTTGTCCATTCATTCTGTGCTGCTGAGGCTGCAGAGATGGAGGTTGAGGGCTGTATCTTCAATCTCCTTTCTCTGTCTCAAAGGTGAAACATACAGAGGTTTAGACCCCTGATATCTTACCTTAAGCCCCCCAACTGGGCTCCTAAAAATGTAAAAAAAAAATAGTAAAAAATAATTTAAAAAAACTACTGACAACAGTGATGGAACTACCAGGGTTGCAAAGGTCACACTTGCAACCAGGCCATGGCGTTCTGCCATAGGGCCCAGAGGGAAGGGTCCCAGCCAGAGGTCAGGGGGGCCCTTCATGGTTTCTTGGAGGAATCTTTAGTGGCCTAAACAGAATCCTGACCTCGACACCTGGTTGATGAATTGGAATGAAAATGGCAAGCCAGGTCTTTTCGACCAAGATCAGTACCTGAATGTTTAGTGGCCTGAACAGAATCCTGACCTAAAAACCACTCAACACCTGGTTGGTGAATTCAAATGTAAGCCTCACAAGTGCTCTTTTGGCGGAAAAGGCACAAATTCTCATGTACAGAAAATCTTGTGGACAGCCCTCCCAGAAGAGTCAAGGATGTTATAATTGTAAGGGAAAGGCCTGGGGGGGGGGGGGGGGGTTTGGGGGGGCAACTACTTAAAGGATAAGTTCACCTTTGACAAAAGCAGGTAAAAAAATGTGCATTTGTTATTTTTTGTTGCAGCAGTCTGTAAAACATTGCACCAGGGAGCAGCCGATCGCTGGTGCCATGCAGGTCTCCTGCAGATCTGTCGGGATATCTGTTTGCATGTATGGGATGTATGAGCAAGCAGATATACTGACAGGAAGACTCGATGAACTACCACAGCACTCCACAGCACCGTGGTAGTGCATTGAGAACTATAAGCAGACAGCCGCTAAGGCTTTTGGGACCTGCAGTTCATTCAATAACAGAACTCTGTGAATAATTTACGTGGCTGTGTGAGCGAAGCCCCGCATGGCCACGCTGTTTTTAAAAAGTGGCAGCTGGTACGGGGAACTTCTCCCAGTACTGCTGTAACAGGGAGGGGGAGGCAGCATTGAAAACATGTAACATGTAACATGTTCCCAAAGGTGAACTAATCCTTTAATGCTCAGAGTTTTGGAATGGGATGTCCAACAAGCTCAGGTGTGATGGTCGGGCATCCACAAACTTTTAAGCATATGGTATAGAAGTGAAGCAGGGCAGAATATGGAGCCATCTATTCATGTTGCACAGTAGCCCCCATTATTGCAAGGAATGTAAAATATAGCTTCTCTTGAAACTGTGAAATTTGCTGTCTGTTATATGACAGGTCATACTTAGTTTTTCTTTTTGGCTTTCAGCTTTGGTGTTCTCCTCTGGGAACTGCTGACCGGAGAAGTTCCATATCGGGAAATTGATGCTCTGGCTGTTGCCTATGGGGTTGCAATGAACAAACTGACACTTCCAATTCCATCAACTTGTCCGGACCCATTTGTTCGGATCCTGGAAGGTAATCAAATTTTTTCACCTTTGATTGTATCACAGGGATTTAGGACTGAACTGTAAGCAACTATAAACAACTTCTATTTAATCCAGTTATGTGTTTATTAAAGCGTTCTTAAAACATTGTTATTTATGTTGTTCAGGACATTCTATGTGTAGTACGATAAAAGTGAAATATAACTTATTATTATGTAGCACTGTATTTATTTTAGTAAGTGTTTTTGCATGTTGTCCAGTTGTTTAATGCCACTTGTTGTAAAAAGCTTGTTATATACAGAGCTCAGTTGCTCAAGCTGAAATTAGTTACAGGTTAATAAGTCTCAGTGGTGCCTCATCCTTTGTTCACTTGCCAAGATGGCTCAGTCTTTAGGTTTTAGTTGGTCAAACTAAGCCTCAAAGCAGATTATTTCTGCTGTTAACTCATATTCCTCTGAGACTCCTTTGTCATAAACTAAATATGTATTTGGAACTAAACTTGTCTACTAGCCAAATCAATAAAACAGGACCTACAAAGGTGGTCCAGAGAAGTGTGTACCTGGTTCAGCCGTAACAGCATCATTAAAATTAATATTTTACCACTTTTATTATATTTAATGCAGGCCCTTCCAATGAAATTTACAACAGGATGTATAAAATACTTGAGAACTATATTTCTAAATTTTGAATGGTAAAACCTGTATAGAATTAACAATCCAGAAATCTTTGAAGCACGGCATTGCTGCACCCAGCATGCAATAGAAAAGCTTCTCTATCAAAGAAATGGGCTTCCCTGTCCTGATCAAATATCATGAGGCAACTCCCCAGACTAGACTGACTGGTGACCTCAAGCCGATTACAAACCATGGGTCAAACAGGATGTGACTGAACCTCCAATAACTGAACTTCCATAGCTTTCCATCCTGCCACTTCCCCCACACCAATTCGCAAACTTCTGCTCATATAAACTACATGAGCATCTGTCTCTAGGGTCTCTTGGAGGCTTGTACTACTATACATGTTCCCTCTTCCTTCAAGCAACTTGGTCTGGGCAGCCCATAAGAGACTCCTTGCAACTTTCTTACTCCTCCTTGACTGATACAGTGTACCAGCACAAACTATAGTGGTTTCTAAACCTGGGAATTAAGTTCTCAAAACTTAAAAAGACCATATGGTCCCAGTGATGTGGAAACAAAATGTGTCTCCGCTATACACAATGGGTAGTCAGAATCACAAAGATCCAACAGATTTAAAAATCACAATGGCCCCGAATAATCAAGATGAGACATATTGACCAATATGGACACCATTGTTTGTCTATAAAGATATATCTCCTTTAGCATCTTTGTAGAGAGGTGCACCCTGGGCCCTTGACTTATATCAATACCAAAGAACTCATCTAGGATGCTGAGAGAGGACAAGGATATAGACCTCTCCCCCTCCACAGCCTTACTCATCTTTTTCCCCTCATCTGTATATTATCTCAATGTTTCTGGACGTTAATTCCATCCCCATTTCTTTTTCATTCACTTTTTAAGTATTTCAACACTCATCTTCATATTTTTCCTTTGACCTTTTACCCCTAAGTGTTATACAACTTCTAAAGAATAAATAAACTAAGGGAAATGACAGTCGTAACATTTCTATATTCGCCATAGTCCACATATGAACCACACAAACATCGTTCTATACGTGTTTAATGTCCTCACCATTTTTCTCTTCCATAAAGAATTTATAAATATTATATTTGAAAACCAAAAATTATATTATTTTTATTATTAGTATTATTGTATATATCATGTACACATGCCCTGTAGATTTTGGGAGTAATAGAATCAACTCTATTGGACTGTGATGAACTTTGAGGTAGTAGTTACGGGGGGTAGGGGGGTGGATGACCTACAAGTATATGGCATTGTGCTGGTAGTGCAGAGATAAATTATAAAAGGTGGTCATGGCTTTGACTTTGTAGGGGTCAGCACCAGTGGTGTAATTAGGTTTTGTGCTGCCCTAGGCAACACACAAAAATCATCTGCCCTCATGGGCACCGACCATAAACACCATCCCCAGAGAGCCGAACATTGACCAAAACATCCCTGCCCCCTACCTGGGAGAGCCTTCCACTACCCCCCCCCCCCCCCGGGAACAGGGGAGGACTAACCATTCAGGCACTGCCCCAGGGCCCTGGGTCAGTAGGGGGCCCCATGAGATGCCCCTGGTACCTTTCATAGGGTTTTTTGGGTGTGGTTTGAGTTGTGGGCGAGGACACGGGGGCCCCATGATCCCTATTGCCTGGGGGGCCCATGAGTTGTCAGTCCGCTCCTGCCCGGGAATGAGAATCAGGCTCTACATAGACCATCAAGCAGCCTCTCTCGGATCCCACCTGGTTCTTATGGCACACATGTCCCTTCTTTCATCCCTTCTTCTGGGGGAAAGGTGCTGCCCCCCCTGAAAAATGCCGCCCTAGGCAAGTGCCGTTTTTGCCTTGTGGTAAATACACCCCTGGTCAGCACTAACTATAACTCAAACCTAAACTGAAAAAAGTAAATTGAAATGCCTCTGCCTTTGGTGCAGCATGGAGCCCAATGCTGCCTTACACTGAGAATTATTTGGTTCTCAGTCCTTTCCTCTTAAATCTATTAAGCATGGGGGTGACAGCTGATGTCAGGGTTAGACTTTTTATGTCTGCTTTGTTAAGCCTCGGCATGCCCCCCCAGCCCCATGTGGGTAAAGTCAGGGGCCTGCTGATTGGGTGCAGCCTCGGGCAATATCACATTGGATAGGGAATGGAGCGTGTCGGATCTCCACTACATGGAAGTGGATACCTTTCATAAAGTTAAAACTGTTCACTATTTGCTAGCACTTCTAATTAATAAATCTATGTCCTGGGAATCAGACCCCATGTACTGTTCCAAAGTCCGTTTTATGTCAACCTCTGCAGGATATAGGGGTAAGTGTGTGCAATGGATGTTTTAGAGGAGTCACATAACATACTATAGATCAATAGATCAGGGATCTCCTAAACAAAGGGCCAGTGTATGGCCCTTTAGACCAGTGGTTCTCAACCTGTGGGTCGCGACCCCTTTGGGGGTCGAACGACCCTTTCACAGGGGTCCCTAAGACCATCAGAAAACACATATTTCCGATGTGTAAAGAGCAGCTACTGTGTAGAAAGCAAGCTGCTCCAAAGTGTGTTGAAGCAGCTACTCTGTTAAAAGCAGCTACTGTGTTGAAAGCAGCAGTATTGGAGGTAAAACGACACTCATGAATTTATAATTACTGGGTAAATAATTTTATGGTTGGGGGTCACCACAACATGAGGAACTGTATTAAAGGGTCGCGGCATTAGGAAGGTTGAGAACCACTGCTTTAGACTTTAAGAGGGCCAGAACAATTGGCTTGTAAACATTGATGGCACTGCCCAATCCTGCTACATCTTATCAACCAATGTTAGCAATTCTGCAATCAAGGAAAGGAATATAAGCTGGATGGTAGAAGAGAAGAGGTAGGATATCCTCCGCTCCAGTGGCCATGTGCCCTATCATTCCCATGCACACTTCTAGGAGTGTCGGATGCCTGTTACCCCCACAGTGCAGTATCGTAGGGGTTGGAGGAAGGAGCCACAGCATACAATGGGGAAACGGCATTAAACGTGTTGTATACTGCAGCTTCTTTAGCAAGCATAGCTCTTCAAAGGAGTGAAGAGTAGTGTAGGCAACAGGGACCGGTATGTATTCAATTTTTTACAGGGTGCACCTTTAATATTTATTTTTAGTGACAAGGGCTTCATTCACAAAGTAGTATCTACCACATTAAGATCCGTGGTAATATTACCTGTTATTAAAAAATATTTTTTCAATTCACTAAAAAATGCTAATAAAATATAGCATGAGCTATTTAATGAAGTGATGCAGTATTTTATTAGTGAAAGCTAGAGCTATTTTAACCCCGGCGTTGAATAACTGGTTGCTAAGGAGCCAGTGGGTGCCAAGTCATGGTTGTTAAGGACACGTGGCGGTTGCCGGCTCCTTAACAGCCAGCTAAAATAAAACCAAATCCTTAACTATTGCGTGCCTGGACCACTACTTAACGCATGCATTTTTAAATTTATTTCTTTTAGTCAATTGACTTTAACGCCATTTTATGCGGTATTTACCAAGCACTTGATTTTTGAGGTAAATACCCCCATAAAGGAATAGCGAATTGACATTTTCAGCATGTGTCAGATCACCTAAATCAGTGTTTCTCAACCTTTTTTCAGTCAAGGCACCCTTTAAAATTATGGATAATCTCAAGGCACTCTTTAAATTTACGGATAATCTCAAGGCACCCTTTAAAATTCTACAAAATCTCAAGTCACCCCAATCTAAAATGTAAAAAAACTATTCCACACACATCCAGTACACCCAACGTTAGAGGTGATTTATTCTTTCAAAGCAAATACACCTTTGCACACTGGTACTGACTAGTGTCTCTCTCCTTTTTTCTCTCCATCACTCTGCTAATGTTACCCCAGTGTTGACAGAGAGAGGTAGGGGAGGGCCAAACAAAGATGATGTGCATGCACCTGACATACTCCTTATCAACTGATGATGTCATTGGTTGTTAGGACGCTGGCAGCTAGGTCATAAAAGTGCGCAATTAAAACCTGTGGCTTTGTGTACTAAAAGACAGGATTGATCCACCTGCTGGCTTGTATACAGTTTTTGGGCATTTTGTCAAGGCACCCCTGCAGAAGCCTGAAGGCACTCCAGGGTGCCTGGGTACCCTGGTTGAGAAAGGCTGACTTAAATACTGCATGCAATCTGCAGTCAATCAGTGAATGGAGCCCAGAGTCACTTTGAAGAGTCCCTCTCAGCTCTCTAAAGTTTAAAAACCATTAGCTTCCTGCAATAGAACAGAATACTTATCTGTCTGGCGGCCTCAAAAGTTTTTTTTGGCATTTGGCTGTTTCGGGAGTGTGTCAGATGCCTTGGTCCACCACCAAGCCCTGTGATTTCTTCCTTCAAACCCTCCACCATTCTAGAAGTTAGCAGTGGTGTAGGGGGTCAAAGGACTGAACTGGAAGTGTGGGGGTACACAGATATCCAACACTCTCAGATGTATTGAATGCCAAAGATGGAGGCTACATGGCTGGATTGAAGTGGAGGTAGGACACACAAACCACAAACTATCTCTTCTTTCACCGAGAGCTTCTATTTGAAATTCCTTTAAAGATCTGACGGTCTATTTAGGATACCTTTATTGTGTTCTTTTTACATTTATGCTGTATATAGTATGCTTTTGTTATAAAATACCATTAGCATTTTTTTTCATTTATTGTCATTTGTAACTTACCTGCAAGTATTCAGACATTTATGTTCTAAAATTGAACAATGTTAAGGTCTGTTATTTTGGTTACAGCCTGTTGGGACCCTGATCCTCATAGCCGCCCTTCCTTCTCAACCATTCTGGATTTGCTGACCACTATAGAGCAATCAGCCATGTTTCAGATGCCCTTGGAATCCTTCCATTCCCTGCAGGAAGACTGGAGACTGGAAATTCAACAGATGTTTGATGAACTCAGAACCAAAGAGAAGGTGATTGGAGATGTATATTGTGAAAATATAGTAGAGATTTTTGGTTTGAGTATATAGTTTAGTTATTTGGGTGTGTAATGACATGGACAACCTGAGGCATGCATGATTTTGTGCTTGCGTCATTTCTGTTTTCAGTTTCTCAGTAAGAAAGTGCATTATTTTCATCAAGGAAAGATTTATAGCTGTTCTTGCTATTTATGTATATTGCCCTTCTAGGCACACCTGAATTATAATGCTCAATTTGTACAAGTCTCACCTCTTGTATTGATTATGCAGTTATTATATTGATGTCTAATTAGTAAAATGCATTGCTGGTTTTTCCATGCTGTGTTCTTGATCATCACTGCTTCCTTTTAACTGTACAGCTCATCAAACAAAAGGATAGATCATTCAGTGTTTCCTTATCTATAACTGTGATCTCCAAACTGCAGGCCAGATGCGGCCCTTTGCTTGCATTTATTTGGCCTTTGGGGCATTGTCCCTTCCACTCATATGAGACACTATTCCTTCCACTGACACCAATGATAGAGCACCATTCCTCTCACTGACCCCAATGATATAGCACCATCCCTCCCACTGACACCAATGATACGGCACCATTCCTCCCACTGACACCAATGATACGGCACCATTCCTTCCACTGACACCAATGACATGGCACCATTCTTCCACTGACACCAATGATGGAGCTTAATTCCTCCCACTGCAATGATAGGGCACCATTCCTCCACTGACACCAATGATAGGGCAATTCCTCCCACTGACACCAATGATAGGGCACCATTCCTCCCACTGACACCAATGATAGGGCACCATTCCTCCCACTGACACCAATGATAGGGCACCATTCCTCCCACTGACACCAATGATAGGGCACCATTCCTCCCACTGACACCAATGATAGGGCACCATTCCTCCCACTGACACCAATGGCAGGGCACCATTCCTCCCACTGACACCAATGGCAGGGCACCATTCCTCCCACTGACACCAATGGCAGGGCACCATTCCTCCCACTGACACCAATGGCAGGGCACCATTCCTCCCACTGACACCAATGGCAGGGCACCATTCCTCCCACTGACACCAATGGCAGGGCACCATTCCTCCCACTGGCACCAATGGTAGGGCACCATTCCTCCCACTGGCACCAATGGTAGGGCACCATTCCTCCCACTGACACCAATGGTAGGGCACCATTCCTCCCACTCCCACATTCCTCCCACTGACACCAATGGTAGGGCACCATTCCTCCCACTGACACCAATGGTAGGGCACCATTCCTCCCACTGACTCAAACGATGCAGCACTATTCCTTCCACTGAAATAAACAATTGGGCACTATTTCTCACCCAAGTACCAATGATGGGCCACTATTCCTCCTCCTACTGAACACAGGAGTTATGTATTTCTTATTTTTTTACTCCAGCTAACCCCAAAGCCTGAGACATTGTCTACTCTCACTGATACTGGACCATTTCTACTCCCACTGGACACGCTCTGGCCCTCCTAAAGTCTAAAGGGCCATACACTGGCCCTTTGTTTAGAAGGTTTGGAGACCCCTGATCTATAATATGTTATGTGACTCCTCTCAACATCCATTGCATACACGTCACCCTGTATTCTGCAGAGGATGACCTAAAACTGATTAAACATTCAGACTTTGGAACAATTGTGTTAAATGAATTGCATTGCCAGGTCACAGAATACTGTGGCTTGTTGCATTAAATTGCTTTTTAAACTTGCTAACCTTGCATCCTCTTAGGAGTTGCGTAGCCGGGAGGAGGAGCTGGTGCGTGCCGCCGAGGAGCAGAGGAACCTGGAGGAAATGCTCCGCAGGAGGGAGCAAGAGCTGGCAGAGAGGGAATTCGACATTGTGGAGCGGGAGCTGAATATCATCATGTACCAAATGTACCAGGAGAAACCCAAGGTGAAAAAACGGAAGGGCAACTTCAAGAAGAGCCGTCTGAAGCACAAGGATGGCAATCGGATCAGCTTACCCTCAGGTAGACCAAAGAGGAGTGATGTGACCGTTCTGATTACTCTGGAGATGAAGGTGTATGTGACTGCTTGCTTTAGGCAACAAGAGCAGGTCTTCTTCACTTCACATTCAGTCAGTGTTCCCATCAAGGCCAAAACCTTTCCTCTTGATATTTGATGGGGTAAGGAAGGGCTATGCTGTGTCCCCTGTGGTCTGATACTGTAGGGGTGTGATAGCGCTGGACCAATGTAAGTAGAGATGAATTCAAATACGGAATAAAGTGTGTTTTTTATACCCAAGTTTAGTTTGTGGTCAAGATAGGTACTTATTTCTCAGCCTTTGTAAAACGGGGGGAAAAGTGCACTGTAAGCTGAGAGGGGGGGAAGCAAATATTTTCTCAGTACAAGAGGCATGTACAGTATATTCTTAGAGTGTTACTAAACCCAGGACCCTGCATTCACTATATCTGGCCTCCCCGGACCCTGCATTCACTATATCTGGTCTCCCAAGACCCTACATTCACTATATCTGGTCTCCCAGGACCTACATTCACTATATCTGGTCTCCCCGGACCCTGAATTCACTATCTGGTCTCCCAGGACCCTACATTCACTATATCCGGTCTCCCCCGACCCTGCACTCACTATATCCAGTCTCCCCAGACCCTGCATTCACTATATCCAGTCTCCCCAGATCCTACATTCACTATATCCGGTCTCCCCAGACCCTGCATTCACTATATCTGGTCTCCCCAGACCCTGCATTCACTATATCTGGTCTCCCCGGACCCTGCATTCACTATATCTGGTCTCGACGGACCCTGCATTCCCTATATCTGGTCTCCCCGGACCCTGCATTCCCTATATCTGGTCTCCCCGGACCCTGCATTCCCTATATCTGGTCTCCCAGGACCCTGCATTCCCTATATCTGGTCTCCCCGGACCCTGCATTCACTATATCTGGTCTCCCCGGACCCTGCATTCACTATATCTGGTCTCCCCGGGCCCTGCATTCACTATATCTGGCCCTCCCCGGACCCTGCATTCACTATCTCTGGCCTCCCTGGACCCTGCATTCACTATATTCGATCTCCCCGAACCCTGCATTCACTATATCTGGTCTCCCCAGACCCTGCATTCACTATATCTGGTCTCCCCGGACCCTGCAGTCACTATATCTGGTCTCCCCGGACCCTGCAGTCACTATATCTGGTCTCCCAGGACCCTGCATTCACTATATCCGGTCTCACCGGACCCTGCATTCACTATATCTGCTCTCCGTGGACCCTGCATTCACTATATTTGGTCTCCCACAGTACACACAACATGGAAATGGAATTATTTTAGTGAATATAAACTGCTAAGTTATAATTATTATTATACAGGATTTATATAGCGCCAATAGTTTACACAGTGGTTTACAACATAAAAATACCTTTTCTCATCAACAGTTAGAGTAGTCTTGTAACTTTTGTCAGTATCCAGCAGAGCACTGGTTAAAGTTTTACTAAACCCCAACAGTAAAATCAGTCTGTATATGCAGTAAAGCATGCTTGGTATACTTACTGTGGAACCTAAGGAGTTAATCCTCTGCATTGTGTAAAAATCATGCTTGATCCTGTCTTCTCTGATTCTCCCCTTCTTCTGCTGTCCCCATTCCATCTGCTGACCAAACAGAGCCTTGAGGGCAAACTGCACATGCTCAGTTTGGTGTGTATTGCTAGAAATTGTTTTTTTTTTTTTTGGGAGAGTGCATTTGATCAGCACAGGGCCAATCAGTGCTGTCCAGGCAAGGGTCAGAGGTCATGCAGCTTCATAGGACAGTCAGAGGAGAATGAAAACTCCTCCTACAAGTTTAAACCAGTGCTCTGCTGAACAGTGATAGATGTCACAAGACTGCTATATTCTGCTGATGAGAAAAGGTATTTAGAAATTTACATTTCCTAAAATAATTGCATTTCCATGTTCTGTGTACTGTGGGAGACTAGATATAGTGAATGCAGGGTCCGGGGAAACCAGATATAGTGAATGCAGGGTCCGGGGAGACCAGATATAGTGAATGCAGGGTCCGGGGAGGCCAGATATAGTGAATGCAGGGTCCGGGGAGGCCAGATATAGTGAATGCAGGGTCCGGGGAGACCAGATATAGTGAATGCAGGGTCCGGGGAGGCCAGATATAGTGAATGCGGGGTCCGGGGAGGCCAGATATAGTGAATGCGGGGTCCGGGGAGACCAGATATAGTGAATGCGGGGTCCGGGGAGACCGGATATAGTGAATGCAGGGTCCGGGAGACCAGATATAGTGAATGCAGGGTCCCGGGAGACTGGATATAGTGAATGCAGGGTCCCGGGAGACTGGATATAGTGAATGCAGGGTCCCGGGAAACCGGATATAGTGAATGCAGGGTCCCGGGAGACCGGATATGTGAATGCAGGGTCCCGGGAGACCGGATATAGTGAATGCAGGGTCCCGGGAGACCGGATATAGTGAATGCAGGGTCCGGGGAGACCGGATATAGTGAATGCAGGGTCCCGGGAGACCGGATATAGTGAATGCAGGGTCCCGGGAGACCAGATATAGTGAATGCAGGGTCCCGGGAGACCAGATATTGTGAATGCATGGTCCCGGGAGACCAGATATTGTGAATGCAGGGCCCGGGGAGACCAGATATTGTGAATGCAGGGTCCCGGGAGACCGGATATAGTGAATGCAGGGCCCGGGGAGACCGGATATAGTGAATGCAGGGTCCGGGGAGACCGGATATAGTGAATGCAGGGTCCGGGGAGACCGGATATAGTGAATGCAGGGCCCGGGGAGACCAGATTTAGTGAATGCAGGGTCCGGGGAGACCAGATATAGTGAATGCAGGGTCCGGGGAGACCAGATTTAGTGAATGCAGGGTCCGGGGAGACCAGATATAGTGAATGCAGGGTCCGGGGAGACCAGATATAGAGAATGCAGGGTCCTGGGAGACCAGATATAGTGAATGCAGGGTCCTGGGAGACCAGATATAGTGAATGCAGGGTCCAGGGAGACCGAATATAGTGAATGCAGGGTCCTGGGAGACCAGATATAGTGAATGCAGGGTCCAGGGAGACCAGATATAGTGAATGCAGGGTCCTGGGTTTAGTAAGACATTAACGCACATAGAATTATTAGCATCAACTTGACCTCTTTTGACATTTATCTAAAAAAGCATTGAAGAGACATAATGAGATAAATTGATATGAAGAATACAGAAGAAGAGTAAAAGGCTTGAATACCTTATCAGTTGACAGCTGATATAATAGTTTCTATACCAAGTCTCGCCCAGGGGTGATTGCCTCGTATTCTTACAGTGCGTAAAAGAATGGGATTAACTGCTTTGAACTATTACATGAGATTGACAGGTCCCCTTGGGCCACAGCCAACTTTATAATTATCGATGTACCTGGAGCAGGCGCCATCGATCTATTTACGGGGCTCTGTAAGAATTTACATGAAGTAACAATAGCAGCCTTAAATGCCATTCATGCATTATCTTTAAGAAGAAACCTCCACCAGCGTACATAGAAAAGCTGTGTGGACAAAATAATGCAAACTCCTAACAATAGAACTATATGAAGGATATTAAATAGCATAGAGATCAGATCTCACAACACTGACACTTGCTGAGCCTTGGTCACAGAGATGCTGGTCCAGTTCTTAATAGATTTATAAAGCAGTATTAAACCCAAACTCAAAAATGTAATCTATTGAAGCTTACCAATCATTAGATGTGGTGGCTGCATTAGGTTTCTTTTTTCATTTATTTTTTTTTCCCCCTCTGTTTCCACTTGGTGATCTGGCCAATAACACTGTTCAACAGGTAAAAAGTTTTGGGCATAAAATTAGCTAATCTTACATAATTTTGGGGTGCTGAAAACGAAAATGACCCTAAAAAATGTTGATTGGCTCTAGTTTTTATGATATATTCACCCATCTAATGACGTAAGCCATTCAAAATTATGATGCAACTTCAGCTGCATATTGCGCAATTGATACTGGTGACCAATAGAAAATTGCATGTATACTGAGATGATGCAATATTAGCCTTTAATTGCATCACTTCACTGCATAAAAGCTGCAGTATCTGTAGCTGATTGTAGTTCGACAGCGTCTTTACATTTCATTTTATGCTTATATAGGCTACTCAGTAATGCCTCGAACTTGTGTGAATAAAGCAGATAATTTCTGCTAATCTGCGGTGAAATAACTTGTCTCACAAAAAAGGAGGATAACAGGAATGATTAAGAAAGCCTACAACTTGTATTTTGGCTGCAAGATAGGAGACCAGGACAAGAGCTGGGCACCACATATATGCTGCAATTCTTGTGGGACGGCACTGGAGCAATGGTTGAATGGAAAAAAGGCATCTATGCCTTTAGCTGTGCCAATGATTTGGAGAGAGCCAACAGATCATGTTAGTAATTGTTACTTTTGTATGGTGCCTCCAATTGTAAAAGGGCTAAATAAGAAGAAAAAGTTATCTGTGCACTATCCAAATATTCCATCGACAATACGTCCAGTTCCTCATGGAGAGGGGCTACCAATTCCTAAAGCACCAGAATCCTTCATGGTTGAGTCAAGTGAGGAAGAACCTGAAGCGTGTAGTCACGTGCAGTTGTAAGAGATAGCCCTTTCCTCGAATACAAGAGAAAAGCCAAGAGAAGCAAAACCGACACAAACTGAAGACAAAACTAGTGAGAATCCTAAGTATTAAAATGATTCAACTTAGCTTATGGCTATAATTTTTCTTGGTAATCCTATGCAATATATTATGCCATTTAGGCTTTGTTATGTAGTCAATATCACTTGCTTTATATTTGTGGAAAGACATCTATCTATATAATTATTGTGCATTATGTAGTCATTACGCCTATAGTAGAAAACTTTCCGTTTACAGAAAAACTAGAGCCAATTGACAAATTTCATTGTTATATTTGAACTCAGAATGTGAAATTCATTAAGAAATGGATCCTTTTGTTTCCAAAACTGGCAAAAAATAAAAATTTGTTGAACAGTGTAACACCTCCTGTATTAGAGTGCCCTCACTTTGGATGAAGGAGCACCGGGGGCACATTTGGACAGCAGCAAAGTCTAGTTAGTCTAGAGGAGGGGGAAGTGTTAGCTGGAGTTTGGCTTCAGTTTTTTAGCGTATCTAAATCTGCTAGTACATCTAACACTTTCTAAGCAGTTACAGCAAACCTATAATCAAAGAATAAATGGTGAGCACAAGACAAAAAGAAGGAAAAAATAAAGCAGCTAGCACAACGTGGCAAATCCACTGTCTTCACCAAAACAAAACACTATAATATCAATGTGCAGCGCTAATAAAAATGTGTGTTATAATCAATGATGACAACGTATAAAGCCATTTATAACTCTGCCCCAAATTACATCACCGATCTTGTCTCTAAATATCACCCAAACCGTACTCTCCGCTCCTCGCACGATGACCTGCTCTCTAGCTCCCTTGTCTCCTCCTCCCATGCTCGTCTCCAGGACTTCTCCAGAGCCTCCCCCCTCCTCTGGAACTCTCTACCCCAATTTATCAGACTATCGCCTACTCTGCTCACTTTTAGGCGTTCTCTGAAAACCTATCTCTTCAGGGAAGCCTATCCTGCCCTCAGCTAATACTGGAATCTTCTACTCTTCCAACCAGTCCATCCCCCACAATTACTACCTTTTGTACCACTAGCCCCTCCCTCCATAATTGTAAGCTCCAAGGAGCAGGACCCTCAATTCCCTCTTGTATTGAACTGTATTGTTGCTGTGTTGTCTCCCGTTATATTGTAAAGCGCTGAGCAAACTGTTGGCGCTATATAAATCATGTATAATAATAATAATAATGACCAGTGTGATCGTAAAAGAGAAAGAAAACATCAAAAAAGCAATAAAGAATAGTGAATACTCCAATGTAGAAACAAAATATACGATATAACAAATAAATGAAAAAAAATAAGTTCTCCAAATATCATAATAGTCCCAAAAATAGTGATATGATCAAATCAACAAAATGTAGTGACTTCCGCACTGCACCTCCACCATAATGCACTCACCAGAAGTAAGTACCAAGCAAACCCAGAGCGGAATTTTTATTAGCGCTGCACATTGATATTATAGTTACAGCAAATCGTTTTGTTCATTGTTGGATAAAGGTTTTACATGAATAAATGAAAGCTGATCATTATAAACACCCCTGTCAGTGTTAAATGGTTTGTCTCATTTTGCTGGAGACTTGCTGGTGGTAAAAATGGGCAGCTGAGACACAGTTTTATTGGCCCCTCTCCAGCCCCCTGAACTGTAGTATATGCGCTAGATTGGCCTGTGCTCATTTAAACACTTACTGACGTAAAAATGCACTCACAAAAGTGACGTGGCTTAGGCGAGCAACCATAGGTCTAATGTGGACCGTTAACAGAATAATGGCCCTACACCCCAGCCTTTGGCAAGAAGATTGAAGTGAGCTGTGGCACATTCTGATGGATAAGAGCCGCTGCCTCAGCATGCAAAGATATTTTAGTGGTCCCGACATCCTGAGGCAGGGGCTCTTATCCCTCGGACTGTGTCACATCTCATTCCCATCCAGGGGAAGAATGACCATTTGGAAACTCGGGCACTGCCCGAGGGCCCGGGGTCAGTAGGGGGCGCCATGAGATGCCCCTGGTACCTCTTTCATAGGCTTTTTTGAGTTTGCGCAAAGACACAGGGGCCCCATGATCCCCTGAGAGGCAATCAGATATTCCCTGGACCAACTTTACCTATAAATGTTAGTGTCCAGTTATGTTCTGTGTATCTAAGTATCCAAGACTTTTTTAAAGCAATCCACTGAGCTGGCCAGAACCAACTCTTGAGGGAGTCTATTCCACATTTTCACAGCTCTTACTGTGAAGAAACCTTTCCGTGTTTGGAGATTACGTTTCTTTTCCTCCAGATGTAAAGAGTGCCCCCTTGTCCTCTGTGATGAGCTCAGGGTGAATAGCTCTACACCGAGTTCACTATATGAACCACTAATGTATTTATACATGGAGATCATATCCCCCCTTATGTATTATACATGGAGATCATATCCCCCCTTATGTATTATACATGGAGATCATATCCCCCCTTATGTATTATACATGGAGATCATATCCCCCTTATGTATTATACATGGTGATCATATCCCCCCTTATGTATTATACATGGAGATCATATCCCCCTTATGTATTATACATGGTGATCATATCCCCCCTTATGTATTATACATGGTGATCATATCCCCCCTTATGTATTATACATGGTGATCATATCCCCCCTTATGTATTATACATGGAGATCATATCCCCCTTATGTATTATACATGGAGATCATATCCCCCCCTTATGTATTATACATGGTGATCATATCCCCCCTTATGTATTATACATGGAGATCATATCCCCCCTTATGTATTATACATGGAGATCATATCCCCCCTTATGTATTATACATGGAGATCATATCCCCCCTTATGTATTATACATGGAGATCATATCCCCCCTTATGTATTATACATGGAGATCATATCCCCCTTATGTATTATACATGGAGATCATATCCCCCTTATGTATTATACATGGAGATCATATCCCCCCTTATGTATTATACATGGAGATCATATCCCCCTTATGTAATATACATGGAGATCATATCCCCCCTTATGTATTATACATGGTGATCATATCCCCCCTTATGTATTATACATGGTGATCATATCCCCCCTTATGTATTATACATGGAGATCATATCCCCCCTTAATCTCCTCTTCTCATGAGAGAATAAATTCAGTTCCTCTAATCTTTCCTCATAGTTGAGATCTCCTCCATGCCTCTTATCAGTTTGGTTGCCCTTCTCTGTACTTTCTCCAGTTCCCCAATGTTCTTTTTGTGAATTGGTGCCCAAAACTGAACTGCATATTCCAGATGAGGTGTTACTAATGGTTTGTGCCGGGGGAAATTATATCTCTCTCTCTGGATTATCATGTATTATATTCTATATATTTAAATATATTTATTTTTTTTATTTGCATTTGAATTTATATTGCTTTAACAACTGGTGTTGTGTATTCCGCTTTGGCGGTAATAGTCTCATAGAGTTTGACAGGCTGCCATCAGCGGGGCTAGACGGGACACCGGTGCCTTCCACCTGCAACTAAACGCCGGAGCTCCATGCATTGTGGCTAAATGCCCAGTGTGCATGGGGCCTAACAGAGACTCTGAACGAGTGTAGAGATAATTATTATACAGGATTTATATAGATAATTGAGATAATTGATCTCCATGCACATAACTGAAAGACATATACAGCTTCTGAGGCTGACACATGGGCATGCCTCTCTGTCCATCAGGGATGTGCGAATAAGAGATCACAGAGCTCTATCTCTGTAAATGAACACTGAATGGAGAAGAGATGAAAGACTACTACTAATGTGACCGCAACACCAAAACCACCCTAGTATGGGTATAAAAAATAACAGTGTGGACATTGCAAGTAACAATTTGTATTATAAAACATATGTATTTTTTTTAAGTGCCTTACTTTTTCTGGTTCTGCCTGCAGGATTTGAACACAAGATCACCGTACAGGCATCGCCGACTCTAGACAAGTGCAAAGGTCAGGGGTCGAGCAGCTACAGCCCCCCTGGGAGCCCTCTGATTATCCCAAGACTCCGAGCCATTCGATGTGAGTTTTCAACCATATGCAGAAAGATATGTATAAATGAATTTCTACACATTATATGTAAGCCTGTAACCTCCCTGGAGGTATTCCCGAGTGTAGCTCGGGGTAAAGTTTCAGTACCACAAGCGGTAACCCCGAGCTACACTCGGGAATACACTGCAGCGTTGCATAGGGATTTGTTCTTCACTTACCTTGTCCTGCGCTCCCGCGATGTCCCTCCTGCAGTGTCCCCGGCAATGTCCTCCGGCGGATGCCGTCATCTGGGTTCCGTCCCCTGCAACGTCAGGATGTACGGGGACGGAACGGTGGGAAATTTGAAAATGACAAAAAGTGACATTCACTAAATACACTAAAATCACATAGTAGAACATTCCTGTATCAAACCATTTCACATACATTTTGTCCCGAGTGCTTTGTCCTGTGTCCTGCCTTCATTTTTACTGTTCTTTCTGCCTGGAAACTGAGAAACGTCCATGGCGTCCAAAAAGCGTCCCTTTAGGTCAAAAGCGGTTTTAGACCAGCTAGAGAACAGCGATAGTAAATCAGAACCACTTGTGGAATTGAGTGATAATGATTCGTGGGGGAAATTCGTCATCAGACAGTAAAAACTATTTTGCAACTTTGCTCAGTGATGTGCAAACTTGGCGCTATATTTCAAATTTCAGTGTTTTTGGTTTGATTATATTATTGAATTAAATTAATTATTATATTATTATTTTTTATGATTATTTACTAAATTATAATTTATGATTTTGTGTTTCAAATTTTAACATACCCGGGATGTTTAATAGACTCTTGTTCGGACAGATTTCAGTGAGTTATTCCTAAAAATTACAGGCCTACATTAAAAAAAATACATATTTCCATGCAAAAAAATGTACCGCTTTGAGCACAGAAATATGGACCATAATCAGACCGCTAGGGAGGTTAAGGAGCCTATTTATAAAAAGAATGTACATAGTCATTTGTCCAGTGAATCTGCATGTACATTCATTTTGTGTGAACTGGGTAAAAACAAATGTTGTTTAGGCTATTTTCTCTTCTAAACGAATGTTGTTTTAGTATAAAATATCGCCTTGTGGAGACAAGAAGCAGAAGTAATATATATGTTTTTGCAGCAAGGAGTGCAGTGCATCAATTCCAGAGAATGCTAGAGGGAAAATGCAAATAAATGGTACCAATGGTTACAGATTGGCTCAACAAAAGTAAATCAATCCCAATGTATAAAGACAATTTTCAACTAGTTGCAGTTTCGTATGCTGAAAAAAAGTAGGATGTGTTCTACTTTTCTGATTGCAGCGCAGTACACCACATCGCAACCTGCTGCGGTAGCTAAAAGTTGAATTTATTTATCAGTAAAGTTGAATTTACAGTCCATCAGTACCGCTTCCTTCACAGTGCACACCAGCAGCCTTGTATTTATTAAAAAAAAATATAAGTTGTTCTGTGAATGGCAGTAGTGCCGAGTGAGTGACTTGAAAGAGTGTAGTAATCGCTATAGTAGTGCTGACTACTACAATGATTGTCCGCTTCCCCAGCGCTCACTCAGGTATGATACATGCACACTTACATTGTGCTAGGCTTAAAGTGTTACTAAACCCACAACAGTAAATTCAATCTGTATATGCAGTAAGGTATGCTTGTTATACTTACTGTGGTACCTAAGGGGTTAATCCTCTGCATTGTGTATAAAAGCTGTTTGATCATGTCTTCTCTGATCCTCCCCTTCTTCCAGTGCCCCCCTCTTATCTCCTGATAAGGCATATTGTGTGGAGTCACTCTGCACATGCTCAGTTTGGTATGTATTGCTAGAGAGTTTTTTTTTTTTCTTGGGAGTGTATGTGATCAGCACAGGGCCCATCAGCACTGTCCAGACAGAGGTCAGGGGTTCTGCATCCTCCTAGAGCAGAATGAAAACTCATCCTACAAGCTTTAACATGTGCTTGGTTGAACACTGATGGATGTCACAAAACTGCTATATACTGCTGATTAGAAAAGGTATTTAGCAGTTTATATTTACTAAAATAATTGCATTTCCATGTTCTGAATACTGTGAGAGACCAGATATAGTGAATGCAGGGTCCTGGGTTTAGTAACACTTTAACCCAGTGTTTCTCAACCTTTTTTTAGTCAAGGCACCCTTTGAAATTATAGACAGTCCCGAGGTACCCTATAAAATTATGGACAGGCTTGAGGCACCCCATTCAATGGCTTCCGCTGCTGCCTGGTAGCCAGTGAGGAGATAGAGAGGCACATTGTTGGAGTGACCTCGGCTAGGTAAGTGTAAGAGGACTGGGGGAGGGCAGCTGTACACAGACAGTTTTTTACAATGCTTGGAGGAAAAAAACCTTCTGACTTTAGAACCACTTTAAAATATCCCTTTAAAAGGGGTATAACATGTAAATGCTATTACAATAGTTTTATTGTGAGGCTAAAAAAAACCTTCTGTGTGCTGCTTCCCCCACAGCCCCTCCCTTATACTCACCTGAGCCCCCTCTCAATCTAGTAATGTGCACAGGAGCCTCCGCTGTCCCGGATCTCTCTCTGCTCATTGGCTTAGACACAGCAGAGGGAGCCATCGGCTCCACTGCTGTCAATCACAACCAGTGAGCCATGATATAGCAGGGGTGGGGCCAAGCTGCAGCTCTCTGTGTCTTATGGACACATAGAGGGGGGATCAGGAGCGAGCATGCAACTGTGCCCCCATAGCAAGTGGTTTGCTATTGGGGGAACTAGTCAAAGGGGAGGAGCCAGGACCAGAGATGAAGCGGATCAGGGCAAAACCATTACACAGAGCAAATAATTATAACATGTTTGTTTATTAAAAACAAAGTTTTAGTATTACTTTAAGGCCTTGTTCACATGGGGTTGCATCAATGCATACCCATTGATGTCACGGATGCAGCAGCTACACGGACACAGCCTCTGCTCCCAATTTGACATGTGGGTGCACAGCCCTGATTGGAGACGGTGTGAGTTTGGAGCTGTGCACCCACACGGATGTCAGATTGGGAGCAATGGTTGTGTCCATGCAGCCGCTGAGTCACAATACACTAGAATGGGACTGCCTGCATGGGGATGCATGCAACCCCAGTGCAGTGCAGCCCCTGCATGGGGTACGCATAGATATGTCCCATATGAATGAGGTCTAAAATGATTGCCCCTGGCACATAATATAAAAGTGTTGTAAAGACTGAGCCATGTCATGTGTGTCTGGACCAGCCGGACACAGCCTCCACCAGGATAAACTCCAAGTTTCCTGTTTTATGATCAACTGTAAGGAAAATTTGTCTCCATAAGATTTTTTTCCCCCTTTTTTGTGTTGTAAGTCCAGGGTTTATGTTTATGGTTTATTGACACTAGTCCTCTATTCTGTTGTCATAAATGTATGGCTTCTAGATCCAAACAATGAGCTTTTCTTTGTCTTCTATTCAGTGACCCCTGTGGATGGCAGTAAGACCTGGGGGCGGAGCTCCGTGCTGAAAAAAGAGGAGGTGGCTTCAACCAAGAAGAAAGGGAGGACATGGGGCCCCAGTTCTACACAGCCAAAGGAGAGAGTCGGCGGGGAGGAAAGGTGACCATCCAACACAATCCACCTACATTGCTGAATTCATAGAGGGTCCGCTCTATGTACTGTATATTGGGGGCGATTCCGTAAAGCATTTGCACACTTTTGTGGGCATTAAGGTCATGTTAAAAAACGTTTCACTATGTTCATGAAAGCTGTGTGTTTTTTTGCTAAAGGCGTATTCACATCAGATTTCATGCACCTTTTAGAACATTGGTTGACATGAATTTGTTTTCATTAGGTTTCCATTTATTTTATTAATACAAATATAGAACATATAATATATGGTGTATGCTTATCCTATATCCCGTGTCATCCTTTCCTTTTCCCCTTTGTGGGTTGGGTTTATGTGCATTTATGTGCGTTTTACATACATTTTGTTTGTGTTGCAATGTGAAAAAAATCCAGATGTGCTGCATATTAGTGCACAGCTCCACACCGCACATGACACCAGCGTTTGGGGCACATAGAATACCTCAGGATACTGCAGAACTCTGCCCCGAGTTTCAGCGAGCCTTAAGCACCCATTTACACACGTGGAGATTAGTAATTTTCTGCCCTAGAAAAGCACTGGTCTCCGCAAGGGCACTCAGACAATAATTGTTTTCTATGTGCGCTGTTCACACTTAACCACTCCTGGACCAGTGATGTACTTGTACATTGCTGGACTTTCAGTGCTTGTACTGGAGTGGTGCCTGCAGTTGCAGACAGCACCATGTACCATTTTGTAGAGCCGATGGTTGGCTCTCTTATACAAGCAATTGGAATGGCTACTAGCCACTTGATTGCTTGTACAAGCAGCCGGAGGGTATGTGTGTGTCCCCCCTTCCGCCTCTATCTTGCGATCTCCCAAGCAACCAGCCGGCATGTCTTACGGCTTGCCAGACAGCTGAACAAAGCCAAAATTGGCTATGATCAGCTCTCCTTTTTCCTTTTGTAAGCTGGAAGCGATGTCCTGACATCACTTCCGGTTTACTCAGAAACGTTCGGCGCCATTTTCAAAAATTTTAAAGCATCCAAAAACACCAATCTTGGTCTTTTGAATACTTTCAAGTGCAGAGCAAGGGTTTTGGGTCCCATAGATCCCAGAGCCCCCCCATAAAGAGTACCTGTCACATGTCTATTGCTGTCACAGAAGATGTTTACATTCCCTGTGACAGCAATAAAAGTAATAAAAAAAAATGAATAATTAAAAAAAAAAAAACAATTAAAGTGCCCCCACCCCCGTGCTCACGCACAAAGGTGAACGCACACTTTGGTCACGCATGCAAACAGTGATTGTTCTACACATGCAAGGTATCACTGTAATCGGCAGATCAGGGGCAGTAATTCTAGCACTAGACCACCTCTGTAAATCTAAAGTGGTAACCTGTAAAGGCTTTTAAAGTGTCACCTATAAATAAATAGTAACATTTATACAGTTTGTTGCTATTGCATGGGTGTGTGCAATTTTAAAACGTGACATGTTTGGTATCTATTTACTCGGTGTGACATCATCTTTTTTATTTTGCAAAAAAATTGGGCTATGTATTTTGTGTTGTTTTTGCAATAAAATTTTAAAAAGAGTATTTTTTCCCAAAAATTGCGCTCGAAAAACCACTGCGCAAATACCATTTGACATAAAAAATGCAAAACCCACCAATTTATTTTCTAGGGTCTGCTTTAAAAAAGATATAATTTTTTGAAGACCTTTTCTAGCAAAAAATACTGATTTTAAAATGTAAACAAAAGTGTCAGAAATGGCCTGGAGTGGTTGTAAACCTCAGACATGAAATATGAGCAAAGCATATTAATCTATAGTGTGTACTTCTCAATCCAGAGCACTAAGTGTCATTTCTGTCCACTGCCTCGTTCCTCTGCTATCAGCATTATTATTATTATTATACAGGATTTATATAGCGCCAACAGTTTGCTCAGCGCATTACATTATAGCGGTAGGCAATACAGTAACATACAGTTCAATACAAGAGGGATTTGAGGGCCCTGCTCCTTGGAGTTTACAATCTAGGAGGGAGGGGTGAGTGGTACAAAAGGTAGTAACTGTGGGGGATGGAGTGGTTGGAACAGTAGAGGATTCCAGTATTAGCAGAGGGCAGGATAGGCTTCCCTGTAGAGATAGGTTTTCAGTGATTGCCTAAAAGTAGGTAGAGTAGGTGATAGTCTGATAGATTGGGGTAGGGAGTTCCAGAGGATGGGTGACACCCTGGAGAAGTCTTGGAGATGAGCATGGGAGGAGGAGATAAGGGAGCTAGAGAGTAGGAGGTCTTGCGAGGAGCGGAGAGTACGGTTTGGGTTGATATTTAGAGATAAGATCGGTTATGTAAGTTGGTTCAGTGTTGTGGATGGCTTTATATGTCAGTGTTAGTGTTTTGAATTTTATCCGTTTGGCAACTGGGAGCCAGTGGAGGCATTGGCAGAGAGGGGTGGCAGATGCAGAACGGTTAGTGAGGTGGATGAGTCTGGCAGCAGCGTTCATGGTAGACTGGAGTAGGGATAGCCTGCGATGAGGTAGGCCAATGAGGAGGGAGTTACAATAGTCGATATGACATGGGAGTGAATAAGTTACTTAGTGGTGAGTCGCTTTTGACAAATTTTCCTGACACCAACATAAAAATGGTGACGGGGAGGGCACAACCTGTGAGTGACGGCCTCTGCTCTGTTCCTGTGTGCTGTGTGGTGAGGAGGTGTGGCCCATCCCTCCAATCAGATCTCAGAGCTCTCCTCACTGAGCATAACCTCAACTCCCTGCCCCCTGCTTTTTCAGAGCTGAGATATTCTGTGTAAATTCCGCACTTTGAATGGATGTAGGGGAAAGATGACTGTAGATTAACAAGTACAACTTATGTAGGAGGATTTTTATCATCTCTGTGTATCACCTGTGGCAGTTACTTCATTGGGTACATGTAAGGATTTACAACCACTTTAAGTGCCATCTTTGGGTGAGCTGCGGTGCAGTGCGGAAATCTGCAGCTTGTCCGTACTGCATCCTCATCCGCACTTGCGTTCCTGTCTACATTTCTGGCTGCATAGATAATAATGAAATTTCACAAGGCACAAGCTGAATGCCAGAACCAACACTATCACAACATTTTACCCTGTATTTAGTGTGAATCAGCCCATGAGGGCCCATCAGGTGAAGGTCCGGGCAGGAACAGCGCAATGTGTGTTTAGGTGCATCTCGCCGTGTACTTTTCCTTTTTTTTTTTTTTTTTTTTTTTTAATTCTATAGACTTTATTGCAATGTCAAAATGAGGAAGCTGCGGTGTGTAGAAATATATGTTATGCTGAGCCTTCAGGTGAGCTCTGGCCCATTGCCAAAAATTGCATACTGTCTGCATTTTTCCACACCGCACTGCTTGGCACCCAGGGGCAAAACTGATGAGTTGGTTCATGTTATCTACACGGTATGTGCACAGCAAAACGCTGAATTTCACAATGCAGATGGTGTTGATGCTGGCGTTCTTGCCAGTTTGTGCATTGTGACATTTCATTTGTTTCTATGCACGCGGAAACGCAGGCAGAAACTGAGCTGCGGATGAGCCACGGCTCATGATGGAAAAAAAAAATGCAGACATGTCGCAGATGCAGTCTTGCGGTCACTGGCATTGATCCGATGCAGAAAAACGACCAATCAGAGCAACTAGTGTGAAGGAGCCCCAACAGTTCTATATTGCCACCCAGCTTGTTGTGTTTTCTTTGTTGTTGGAATAGTGTATACCTACAGTACAGTAATATGTCTCTTTTAGCCCCTCCGCCCCCTGCGCCAGCTTGCGTTGTTTATCTATGACATCTGATGTGGTTTTAGCATGAGACGAAAGCTAGAGGAGGCGATACAAGATAACAGGACTGGGGGGGGGCGGGGGGGTAAAGCGTTAAATAGTCCTATTTTAAGAGTTTAGTAGCTAATCAAAAGCATCTTACAATAAAACTGTATCCTGATTGGTCACTGGAGTCCTAAAAATACACTTTTCACCCCCCAAAAATAATTTAATCAGCCAGCTTTGCCCTTTGTTGCTCAGAAACACGGCCTAGAAAGGTCCCTGTGATGCAACGACAATGAGCGGAAAAATGTCCTCTGCATCTGCCTTCACACTCTGGAGCATCCCTCGAATTACTGGCTCCCGTTTTAAACCCAGTGTTGTCTGGTGTGGGGGTGTGTGTGGCCCCCGTCCAATCAGCTATCACTTCACACGGAGAAAATTGAGCCCTTTTAGGACATGCAGGAAGCAGTGGGAGGTGGGGGGAATTTTTCCTCTTTTCACAAACCTGCAGCTGCGGTCGGGTGGAATTGTAATTATGACTTTTACTTGTTCTGCATTCTCTAAGAACATACTGGGAGGTATATATATATATATATATATATATATATATATATATATATATATATATCCACCAAGGATGGCCGCAGGAAAGGATGGACTTTATGACAAGTTCAAAAAATAACTTGTATGCTCTATATTTGTACTAATAAAATAAATGGAAAAGGAAATATAATACCTTCACACTGTATAATGCAAATACTCTTAGAGCTCAACTTTACCTTCTTCATATGTGCTACAGGTGAAATATTTGTTGTACAGCCTTTATTTTCTCTCTCTCTCTCTCTCTCTCTCTCTCTCTCTCTCTCTCTCTCTCTCTCTCTCTCTCTCTCTATCTATCTATCTATCTATCTATCTATCTATATATATATATATATATACACACACACATATATACACAGTGGATATAAAAAGTCTACACATCCCTGTAAAAAAAGGGAGAAATCATTTTAGAACCTTTTCCACCTTTTAATGTAACCTATAAACTGTACAACTCATACTCACACCCTCTTATAACTGGGGATGTAGCTGTGTTCAGAATTAAGCAATCACATTTAAAATCATGTTTAAATTGGAGTCACTGCACACCCACCATCATTTAATGTGCCTCTGGTTAACCCCAAATAAAGTTTAGCCGTTCTAGTAGGTCTTTCCTGACATTTTCTTAGTCGCATCCTACAGCAAAAG